AAGCCAACAGGAGCCAACTGTCCTCAGGGCTTTTGAAAGCCAGGCCCAACTTATTTAGGAACCTAAACAGAAGAGCTTTATTGGATATAAACATCCTCATGTAGAGTTTGAGCTGCAAAATGTGAAGTTAACATCAGCGGAAGAGCTATCCTTTATAAATTCTGAGATAACCTAGAAAGTCTAACAAGGAACTGGTAACTGTCCTCTTTCTCTAAAGAGACATACAGATTATCTGGAACCATAAGGCTGTGCAGATACCTATGTAGCAATCTGATCTTATCGCTGCCACCCATGTCCTTCCTACCACTTTGCTATTATTAGAGTGTAACAAACTTGAAACAAAAATGCAACAAGCAAGCATAAGCTCCTAAGGACAGTGAATGCATGTTCTTGAATGTTCGTACAGCACCCAGCACAACGGTTCCACCAATACTTGCCAACTACATAAAATTAAACAAGAAAAAAAGCATTAACGCAACATTAAAGTAAAAAAATTAAGTCAGGAAATTCCAGAAGATAATTTTATAGCATATACATTGATAAATACTACATGTAAGTTTAGATTTAATAAAGAAAATTAACAGGAAATAATACATATGGGTTATGGTTAACACTGGACTTGCCATCAGACTGGCAATCTATCTAGTCCTGCATTCTATCTCTGACAGTAGCCAGCACCAGATGCTTCAAAGGAAAGTGCAAGAACCTTCAAATGGACAATTATAAAAGTCAGCCCATAGGGCAAGTGTCCTCCTTAGCTTCGGCCCTGAAGCACAAGGAGATAGATCCTTTAACCTTATAAAATTATTAAAAATACAACAGTGTAATTGTGGACTGTCTTCATTATATATAAAGATGCCAAATCCTGCTATACTCATGGAATGTGGCAATGAGTCCCATAGACCAATTATACCACGTTTCATTAAGCAGAGATTTTCCTTGCTGCACCCCCATAAGTGCCACTTTCCTTTTGGAAATTCTGGAGCTGTTCTTGCCAGTCCCTGACACTAACGCTGCACTACAGCTCTGTCTCTTCGCATTGAAAGGAACTGATCCGCACTCCGCACGCTTTCCCCGCTACACGCAAGTGAAGCGTGTGAACAGGCGAGAGGTGCCCGATCCCCAGGGCATCGGTATGAGGACGCAGCTGGTTCCAAACACGAGGCAGGAGAGCAGCCCAGGGCTGCCTCCCAGCCCCCGGGGTGACAGCCCCCGCCTGCCCACTACTCCGGGCCCAGCTCGAGCGCACACAGCATCTCGGCGCCGCTTGGCTGCTCCCTGCCCGGCTGCTGTGGGGCCCCCGTGGTGCTTCACCGGCCCCGGGCAGATCCGGGCGACACCCGCCTGCGGCGGCACTGCCCAAGCTTCGCAGCCGGGCGGCAGCCCCGAGACAGGCAGCGCCCCGCCACCGCCGGGAAAGACGGGGCCAGCCCCCCTGCCTGCCCGGCCCCTACCTTGCTGCGCCCCCCCGCGGCCGCCCGCTGCTGGGAGCCGGACGCGGGGAAGGCCTGCGCCGGGACGTTCAGCATCCTGCTCCGCTCCGCGGCCGCGCGGCGCGCTCACTCCCCGCGCGCTTCCGGGCTCGGCCTGGCCGCGAGGGGACTGCGCAGGCGCGGGGGGCGGAGTCCGCCCAGCAGCCTGGGGAGCAACCCCCCCCTCCTTCCAGAGCCGCGCGCGCCACCCTCAGGTGGGACCGGAGCCTCGCAAAACAAACCCGCGAACCGGCTGCAAATGGGGGCCGGTGCTGACGTTACTGCTCCCCCCCGCAAGACCTTCTCCTCCCCCGCCGCGCTGTGTCGTGGGGCACAACTTCCACGTTCCACCCTGCTGCGGTTGCTGCACTGGGGCCGCACACCTGCCCCCCCACCCCATTGGCTTGTGCCTTGATCCGCCTTTCACCCTGGCACTGGGCCTTGGTGGCAGGGGTGGCTCTAACTTTTTTGCCGCCCCAAGCAAAAAAAAAGAGCGCTGCCCTCCATAGCGCCGCCATAACACACACCCTCAGCACTGCGCCGCCACCCCCCCCCCCCCCCCCCCCCCCCCCCCCCCCCCCCCCCCC